TGTCAAGTCAGAAGTTTTTTTTCTTTTGTTGTGAGGCGTTAAAGTATAAAATAAAGGTTTTATTATCTTTTGTAGAACAAATTTATGGGATGATATTTACAATGGCTGTTAGATTTCCATATTCTGCCAATGGCTTTGCCCGCGTTCCCGGAATAAAAATTAACCCATGTGTTATTCCAGATTGTAATTTATCTTTGTACAAAATTGTATTCAAATCCGTCCAGTAGTTTTTTGTAAAAGAGTAACAAATGTACATCCTCACAAACTTTCACATCTATATATAAAGATGAATCCCTTTTCCCTTGGTCACGGCATCACGCGTGAACAGCTGGACCGATTTCACTGATTCTTTTTTTGTTATATTTGTTATTATTAGGAGAAGGTTCTTAAGATAGAAAAAAACCTGAAAATACTACGGGAACGGGCGAAAACGGGATTGCGCACAAAGTTGCGAGCAGAAGCTAGTTTTAAATATTTGTAGGATTCCTTAATTTCAGCTTCGAAATTGGCAAATGCAACGAGATCCGCAAATGCTATGAACAACTGTCAATACTTTAAGGTTTATGCTAACCAAAAATTCAATTACACAAAATCGAAAATGAACACAAAAAACCCAATAAACAAAAACAAGTTTTCCAATTACATTTTCCTCGTATTCCTTTTCAATGACAATTGGAAATGCAAATAACAGTGTTTTGTTTAGTGTCACTGTGTTGTGGGGTGTTTTAAATTGAAGTCGTTCCTGTGTCAACCATTCTGCTTTAGCAATTTAACTTCGTTGATGTGTACAATTGACTTTAGAAGGGTTTCTTTTATTTTTACCGACTTCAAAAAAAGGAGGAGGTACTATGTTCGGCTGATTGTTTTTTTTTTTTTTTGTTTGTTCGCGCAGTTCTCCGCCGTTTGTGGACCGATTTCGAAAATTTTTGTTTTGTTTGAAAGGGTATACTCCCGAGATGGTCCCATTTCCATGAAGTCAGGATCTGATGATGGGATCCTAGGGAAACCGAGGGGAACTTTCGAAAATTCTATGGGGGAGTAATGCGTCTATTATGTTTTTCAATTACGAATTTTAAACACTACAATTTAATAAGGGTTTGGAGTCGACCTGATGATGGAGTCGACAGACAGTCGAGGGAACTCCTCAGTGGTTTATATTAACTACCTTGTGTTTGGGCTTGATTAATTTGTATTGATGAGGACTTTAAACCTAGATAGAGTCGGGCTGTCATTAAGGGTCTGATGATGAAGAAGTGTAATTGTTAAGGGAACTCCTCAACGGTATACAGTAACTACATTGAGTTTGGGCTTGATTAATTTGTATTGATGATGACTTTACACCTAGATAGAGTGGGACTGTCATTAAGGGTCTGATGATGAAGAAGTGTAATTGTTAAGGGAACTCCTCAACGGTATACAGTAACTACCTTGAGTTTGGGCTTGATTAATTTGTATTGATGAGGACTTTGCACCTATGTATGTATATTATAAGTAACAAAACGGGTATATGTAGCTTTACACTGAAAATCGTAAAATAATAAAATAAAAACTGCGTTTAAAAAACCGACTTCAAAAACCAAAAACTAATAACAAACAAAAAGTCAATACTAAAAAGCAAAAAATAACTATTATTAGTACTGATGGGTTACCCACCCACTGATAGGTAAGAAGTCGGTGCCATAAGTTCCATACAAAATTATTCATTAAAACCTTAATAGGTATCTAATTCACCATTTTGTGGACATTAAGTTATATCATTATGATATGAGCGGTTTTTTAAACGCAGTTTTTATTTTATTAGGTATTAGCTCTGTGTCATTGTTTGTTATTAGAAAGTTCTTTGTTACGTTTAGGGTTTTATTGAGTCAAAAGTTTGTTAAAATATAAGGGGTGTGCTGAAATGTAAATTCCAAATTAGCTGGATTTCTTATTTTCTTTCATAGTAGGTGAGTGTGGGATAGCCGTGCTTCGGCACGAATGGGCCGACTCGATCGGAGGTCACGGTCTGACAGAAGACCTACGTGAAACAACGCTTCCGTTGTGTTTCGTCGTGTGAGTGAGGTTACCGGAGGCCCAATTACCCCTCCCCCTCTTTTCCAATCCCTGAATCCCCAACAATCCTCAAATTCCTAATCCTAAAAGCCCGGTAACGCACTTGTAACGCCTCTGGTGTTCCAGGTGTCCATGGGCAACGCCGACTGCTTTCAATCAGGTGATGCGCCTGCTCGTTTACCGGTTTATGCCATAAAAAAGATAATACCTAATATTCTACTTTTTTTTCTGCAGGCATTATAAGATTCGACAATAGAACTTCACGTTTAACACAGACCGGATAGCAGCCTCTATAAGCCTGAACTGAATCTTTTAAACTGCGATCAAGAATTCATCTGCACGACTAGGTAATTATAGCAAACCCTCATAGAAGGTCCATAATATAATAGTAGATTGGCTGTTGAAGATGATGATGAGATGTTCTTGTGAGGATTATGCAACGGTGCGCACATACGGTATGTTGTAACATAACATAATATCAACCCTTTTATCCCCGAAGGGGTAGGCAGATTTGCACATTATGCCACTGTACAAAGTAACACTCACTTTTCACTATTTATGTTATAAGTCCCATGTAATAGTGGGTGACCCTATTGTTATGTTATGTTAAAACCAAACTTGTCTACAACTTTTGGTTTCCGTGTATCGTTGCATAATTCCTGTCAATATATGACAATAAGCTATTCTAGCTAGGCAATAAGTATATGGGACTCATAACATAAATAGTGAAAAGTGGGTGTTACATTGAACAGTGGCATTAACCCGTCGTGTGTCTAAACGTGGATCCACGCGAGACGCAATGTATTTTCTATTGTGTCTCATATCGGTGCCGTAATGTGCACGCCTGCCTATCCCTTCGGGGTTAAAAGGCGTGATGTTAAGTTTGGTATTATTGTTCTGCAATTTGGTCTTTGTTGCCGTACAAAATACGCCATGTTTGCTCGAGCATCCGTTCAGTTCTACACAGATACCAACTAATTTTGGCTCTAAAGTAGGATAATTTTCTTGTATACATCTATATATATAAAAATGAAACCCATTTCCCGTTGTCACGCCATAACTTGAGAACGGCTAGACCGATTTGGATGATCTTTTTTTTGTTGTATTTGTTATTATTAGGAGAAGGTTCTTACGACAGAAATAATCCTGAAAACGGGAGAAAACGGGAATGCGCGTACGTAGTCGCGGGCAGAAGCTAGTACAAAATAAATGTACTTTGATCAATTCAAACAACCAAAAAAAATTAAAAACCTCCATTCTCTTCATTTAAAAGTCTTTCCCTACGTGTGACTGAGTGATGTGGAATGTGGGTGCGTATAAAATTTATTGACTGACAGACAACGTACGGCACGGTACACATCTTAGACAGCTTTGACAAGAGTCATTTACCAAATATGATTCCTTGGGGAGCATTAACGACTCCTTCACGAAATTCTTTCATAAACGAAACAAATTAGGAATAGGGTAAATGCCTAATTTTTATTTTAATGTCCGTCTGGTAGATTATTTTAAATCATCAGACACGTATTTTTTATTTTCTTACAGAAACCAATATTAACGACGATATATTGATTTGAAATGTCGGTTGACGTCACTTCTATGTATGTACATTTTATACGTAGAAATGACGTCTTAGCCCCCAGTCCTAAACTTTGATTCGTTATATCTAAGTATAATTTTATTATACGACAAAATAAAAAAATACGTGTCTAATATTTTTCATTACCTAACTTACGGACTAATTAGATTTTTGATTTTCATACCCGGTTATCATCCCAATTGTAGGTATGCATGCATGAAGTCGCAAGCAAATTCTAGTACATTTTGTAGAGTCGAACTATGTTTTGTTTATCTTTATAATTGAAACAGTGATTTCATGTTCGTGCCTTTAAAAGCATTAGGAGGCTTAAAATAATAAATTCGTTATTAATGACTAAAATTGATAGGTCGTTACCAAATCAATTATCGAGCTTTCCAAACAAAGTTTTGAGATTAGCCCTAACTTTGTAAGGCTTAAATTAATGCCCCTATACTAAGAACAGATTGAAAGTAGTTTTAAACCATTTACTAGTAGTTGGCAAAATTTTATCTCAATCGCTAAATTCTATCCTAAACTTTTGTAAAGAACAGACATGTTCAGATATCAAGCTACACCTGTTTGGCGAATCTGTTAATTGGATGTTCAACCTTATCAATTAGGAGTAAAGTTGAAAAGGATTTGATAGTTGAGGGCCGTTTGATGTACTGTATGAACTATTGAGCGAATTTTAAGCACCGTTTTCGGTGGAATGTTTAAAGGTTGATTAAAATAATTTGTGAAGGCACAAAGGCGTTTCGCTAAATAGCAGCTATAAGATTAATCTGTAAGTACGTATATGTTATGTTTAAAAGAAATATGTGTTTGTACGTAATCTACGTCTTTTGAAAGTGTGTATGTTAAATGGTCCAAAAAATTATGATAATAACTGGATTTACATTTGGATTTTTTATTTATCGAGCTTTGTATTTGTGGTTTAATTTTAAACGCAATCGATAATACAGATTTACAAGGCTACTAAGAGAGATACAGATTTTCGATCTATAAAGCCAAGAATACACTAAGGGATAAATATCCTGCGACACGTATCGCTAGCGACGTTGGATGAAGTAGCGTGACGTTGTCGACATGTCTGACAACATCAACGTCGCTGTGGACGCGTTGTCGCCATATAATAAGTCGGGCAAAATCGGCAGGCTTCGCTTGACATGTCGTGGGACATCCTTGTTGTCCCCTAGTATACCATTGGCTTAAAGGTAACATTAACAAAAAATCTATTATTATCCTGAAAATAAATACAACATATTTTTGTCCCCTGACTTTCCTAAGTTCCAATAACTGCTTTCCACCAATCTATTAGTAAAATGCAAGTGTGAAGGGAAATCTATTAGCCAAAACATACTACAAACTACTAACCTCTCTTTATCCTATGTCGTGGCGAGTTGGCAGGCGTACTGTGCTCCGAGCTCTGGTCTCCAGCATACTCTGTACCACTGCTGTCCGGCCCCGGAGCGAGCGTGAAGATGGTGCCGGCTGGACATCGCTCGCGACTGCGGCTGCGTTGCCAGCGACTCTAAGGATGAAAGGATATTTAAGTATAGAACTGTGGAGAAAGAATCTTTGTGTAAGTCAAAGTCAAAATCATTTATTTCAATTACACCTGGGAGGCATTTCTGTCAAAAAAAATGTTTAAAAATATGTGTATGAAGCTCTAATGAAGCGAAGGTAATGTCGACTCTTTCATCAAGTAGTCGTTATTACGACTACTGATCTTGTTAGGCAAATAGATTACTAAGATTTCCAATTTCCCAAAATTCGCAGAAATAGCACAGAGGAATTGTATTTAAAATAGGCTTGTACCTCAAAGGAGGATTGTAGAAAAATGAGAATGTTGAAGAAATGAACTTGACCTTTAATTATTACTAGCTACTTCCGCGTGGTTTCACACGCTCTGCTCAGCTCCTATTGGTCGTAGCGTGATGTTTTATAGCCTATAGCCAAAACACAAAAAGAATTATTCAAATAGGACTTGTAGTTACGTAGATTAGCGCGTTCAAACAAACAAACAAAAAAACAAACTCTTCCGCTTTATATAATAGTATAAGATTATAATTTGATACACATGACGTACTTCAAGAAAGACCAATATGTATTTATATGCGCTTAAAGCATAGAATGTGAACATTTCTTTATTTCGTTATTTGGATGTTTGTCCGTCAATCACACTGTAACTGCTGAACGGATTTTGATGAAATTTGGTATAAAGGCAAGGTATGGGCTGATTTAGGTAATAGGATTACTCTTTCTCTCGATTAAATGCGCGAATTAAATTTTACGCGGAAGAAGTCTCGGGCAACAGCCTTACAATCTAAATCCACATCTCATTTACAATCCATTACTGGCTCACGATGACTGAGCACAACCAAATAATTCGCGGCCGGCGTTGTATAGCAAATGATACTATGATGCTATCATTATCTGATAATCGTCGAACACGCTGCGAGTTGAATTAATCATTGCAATGTGAAACGTAATGTAAATTATTATTATGTTCATTTTAAAGCATCGCAAACTTTTTGAATCTTTGTACTTGAATGAAACACAGAGTCTGGAGAAACTCAGTTATTTTGGTTGGTATTTCATATATAGATTTTCACTAATAATATAAATAAGTTATACAAAGATTGAAAGACGATGTAGTGACAAGGATTGAAAAGGGAATGTTACGCTGGTTTGGACATGTAGAAAGGATGGATGAAAGTAGAGTAACGAAAGAAGTATACAGAGCGGATATGAATGGAGCCGTCGGTAGAGGGCGCCCTAGACGGACATATAGTGACCAGATTGGCGATATATTAAAGAAGGGCCAAATTAAAAGTACCCTTAACCGACGAGCATGCATGAAAAGATTGATGACTGTTAATGAAGCGAAAGAGGTATGTAAGAATCGTAGTAATTGGCGTTTCTTAGTCTCTGCCTACCCCCATGGGAGACAGGCGTGAAGTTATGTATGTATGTATGTAAGTTATACAAATTGGTATTTATGACCAGTGGTAGTAGAGCTTTTCTCAATATTTTCACGTGAATCATTCGCTATTTTTAGTATGTCTCACGATAGTTATTATAAAAAGATTAGGTAACGGCATTATCTACTATATAAAAATAAGTCGGGTTTTCCTTCCTGACGCTATAACTCAAGAACGCACGAACCGATTTCCACGGTTTTGCAGTCATTGGAAAGGTCTCTGGCTCCGTGAGGTTTATAGCAAAGAAAATTAAGGAAAAAAATTTTTCTTCATCTTTTAATCACTAAACGAAATTTTACATAAAACGAAGAAGAAACTGGTGGCGAAACGGAGTTCGCCGCGTTTGCTAGTTTATCGATATAATCTTAACTATCAATGTCGATAAAAAAAAAATCACAATATTCTTGAAATTCAACAATTGAACATCACAGCGTTGTTCATCAAACCGTTGCGTTCAGAATGACAAAGAGACTCTTTCATTAATTGATTGTAGTCGTCAGCTGACTGCTCGCGTTGGGTGCAATCATCTGGAAATGTGTCGAAGTCATCGACAGCTGACATGGATCGGACAATACAGTTTATTTTTATTTATTTATTCCACTTACATTTATCTTTACAAGGTAATACCTAATGCGATAAATGTGAGTATCTTAATATCTATAGCATACTAGCAAACCCGGCGAACTCCGTTTCGCCACCAGATGGCTTCGTTTTATGTAACATTTCGTTTGGTGATTAAAAGATGAAGAAACATTTTTTTTCTGAATTTTCTTTATTATAAACCTCACGGAGCCCGAGACCTTTCCAACGAATGCAAAACCGTGGAAATCGGTTCGTGCGTTCTGGAGTTATAGCGTCAGGAAGGAAAACCCGACTTATTTTTATATAGTAGATTACATATAATGCATTCCTTGTGAATTCACCCAGAGTACAACAAAATAGGTCAGTTTCATTAAAAAATAAGGCTGAGCGTGCGAAGTGCACGCGTCAGCGGCGCTTCCCTTAATAGATTGGTCCGACCGCGGGGCTCAGCCAGCAGTGGCGGTGGCCGGCGTCGCCACACGTACCTACTCGGAACACATAGACTCAGCTGCCCTAAAATAACTGCATTGTGCAGCTTTCCTCTTAATATCTTAAATAGTTTTCAGCTGGTATTGTTGGTCTATTGGATAGCGTTAGATAATGTTTTTACTTTTTTATTGGTCCGAATATTATTAAAAGGCACTATAACTTATAATGACGTCATACCATTGAACCTTCGAAGGTACACAAAGGCACACCGAAAAATTACAAAAAAAATGATAATATGTATACTGAAAATACTCCAATTATTATGTATGCTTATATTTATACTTTGCCCGACCGAAGATATAGATAGGAAGACCCCTTGTTCAGTAGAAGCGCTTACAGTCACTTAAAAAACTAGGCTGTCGAAATATCCAGCTGTTCTGTTTAACACTCGATATTATCAAATATACGCCTTCCAAACAAAACCAGTAATTCTCAAATAGCGTTAACAGTTCAACCGAATCCTGTAATTAATTTCTGCCGCAGGTCTTATGAATTATGCTATGTTTGCTAGTTCAAATTGCAAACATTTGCTGCATTATGTGGTCCTAAAACTGTGCATTAGATATGATGTGTAATATTCATATTCAGTCATTATAGAGATCAATGTATTGAACCAATTCATAATCCATGACCCACAAATTGTTGGTCGTGATTGGAATCACGTACGTTCAAGTGTAATGTTTAAGTCATCATCATCATCAACAGCTTATAAATGCCCACTGCTGAGCAAAGCTTCTTTTCACATGGAGAAGGTTGAGCATTAATCACCACTCTTGCTCAATGCGGGTTGGCGATTACAAACTTTTAATTAGAAATTATAAGCCCCAGGTTCCCCCCACAATGTTTTCCTTCACCGTTTGTCAGTGGTGTCTAAATAATCTTAGAAAGTACCTACATATAACTCTGAAAAAGTCACATTGGTACTTGCCATTTGTAGGTTTCGAACCCTTATGCATGAGAAGCGGGCGTCTTAAACCTCCGGGCCACCACGACACAATACGACGATATGTTTTATATGAAAGTGTGTACAAAAGCTTCTACAGGAGAAAATCCCAATTTGAACACTTAAATAAAAAAAATATAACTATCTACAAAAAAGGGGACAAATCAAAAGCCTGATTAACAGCCCCCGCATGACTTCACACGACTCTCGAATTTATTCCGAACCGCTAACTCACGTTGATCGATCATCCACAGAGGGAAAGTTGAGAGACGTGCCCCGCAATGTCACATTATAAATAACAACACCGAAGGGGTAGGCAAAGGTGCACATAATTAATCTTTATACAAAAGTATAATTTTTGACATAAAGTATTAAAGCTAGTTGTAAACTATCGTATTTTTAAAGCCTAAATGAATAGATTGCTCATGGGACGACGTACTCCATCGTAGACCGCATCATTGCTTACCACCAGGCGAGATTGTGTCCAAAGGCTATTCATATAAAAACAATGTAACATCCAGTGTACTGTAGATCCTGGCTTAAAAGCGTTGCAGCGGTTTTGAGAAGTAGTGGTGGCATTATCGATTGTTCTATTTAAAGAAAAACAATGTAATATCCAGTTTCGTTAGAGTGAAACTCGACCAGAGTGATACCTCTGCCTCAGAGAAAACCGACCGACCGTGAGGTTATCGGAGGCCTATTTGGGCCTCCCTCCCCAATCCTGGAATCCCCCTCAATACTCAAACTCCTAATCCCGGTACTTGTAATGCCACTGGTGTTTCGGGTATCCATGGGCGGCGCCGATTGCTTACCATCAGATAATCCATCTGCTCGTTATATTTGAGTTAGTAAATCGTTTTTTTTCACATTGTAAACTGAACTATGTGCTATTATTGATTAAATCGAAAGACCCTCACTTTTAACAATTCTATTATTTGTTTGCGTGTTTATGAAAATACCGGTCGTAAATCGTAAAAGTTGATTTACAGTAAATGTTCGTGTTAATGTCTAAGAAATAACTTGAAAATTAATTTAGTAGCAAATTCTTTTCAATCTAAATGCTGGCTTAAAGCAATCTACAGCCGTCTTGGAAAAGTTTGAAGATTTATGTTTCAGTATAAACAAGAGCCTGGGTTAGGCCTACATTTAATTTAGGCTTTTTATTTAAATTTATTTTTCTGTATTATTATAATCTAGAATTTGAAATTGTGTAAATAATAAACTTTAATTACCGACTTCAAAAAAAGGAGGAGGTACTATGTTCGGCTGATTGTTTTTTTTTTTTTTTTTTTTTTTTTTGTTCGCGCAGTACTCCGCCGTTTGTGGACCGATTTTGAAAATTTTTATTTTGTTTGAAAGGGTATACTCCCGAGATGGTCCCATTTCCATGAAGTCAGGATCTGATGATGGGATCCTAGGGAAACCGAGGGGAACTTTCGAAAGTTCTATGGGGGAGTAAAGCGTCTATTATGTTTTTCAATTACGAATTTTAAACACTACAATTTGATAAGGGTCTGAAGTCGACCTGATGATGGAGTCGACAGACAGTCGAGGGAACTCCTCAGCGGTTTATATTAACTACCTTGTGTTTGGGCTTCATTAATTTGTATTGATGAGGACTTTACACCTAGATAGAGTGGGGCTGTCATTAAGGGTCTGATGATGAAGAAGTGTAATTGTTAAGGGAACTCCTCAACGGTATACAGTAACTACCTTGAGTTTGGGCTTGATTAATTTGTATTGATGAGGACTTTACACTAGATAGAGTGGGGCTGTCATTAAGGGTCTGATGATGAAGAAGTGTAATTGTTAAGGGAACTCCTCAACGGTATACAGTAACTACCTTGAGTTTGGGCTTGATTAATTTGTATTGATGAGGACTTTGCACCTATGTATATTATAAGTAACAAAACGGGTATATGTAGCTTTACACTGAAAATGGTAAAATAATAAAATAAAAACTGCGTTTAAAAAACCAACTTCAAAAACCAAAAACTAATAACAAACAAAAAGTCAATACTAAAAAGCAAAAAATAACTATTATTAGTACTGATAGGTTACCCACCCACTGATAGGTTAGAAGTCGGTGCCATAAGCTCATATCATAATGATATAACTTAATGTCCACAAAATTGTGAATTAGATACCTATTAAGGTTTTAATGAATAATTTTGTATGGAACTTATGGCACCGACTTCTTACCTATCAGTGGGTGCCCAACCTATCAGTACTAATAATAGTTATTTTTTGCTTTTTAGTATTGACTTTTTGTTTGTTATTAGTTTTTGGTTTTTGAAGTTGGTTTTTTTTTATTCTACCCATGACCCAATATGACCTCATACCCGGGTCAAATAAATATCGTTTGCACAAAAAGGGTCGAAATCGATCCAAAAACTTGGGCAAAACTCGTTGCTTGTGACGCAAATTGGATGAAGGTTCCTTCACTTAGTTCAGGTCGACTGCATAAATATTCATTCGGGTTCTTACTCTTGGTTAATTTTTGATAATAATTGTACATTAATGGTTAATTAAGTGGGATAGCAATATACAGGTAATTTCATTGCAGATATCAATAAGAAGTCGGTGCCATAAGTTCCATACAAAATTATTCATTAAAACCTTAATAGGTATCTAATTCACAATTTTGTGGACATTAAGTTATATCATTATGATATGAGCTTATGGCACCGACTTCTAACCTATCAGTGGGTGGGTAACCTATCAGTACTAATAATAGTTATTTTTTGCTTTTTAGTATTGACTTTTTGTTTGTTATTAGTTTTTGGTTTTTGAAGTCGGTTTTTTAAACGCAGTTTTTATTTTATTATTTTACCATTTTCAGTGTAAAGCTACATATACCCGTTTTGTTACTTATAATATACATAGGTGCAAAGTCCTCATCAATACAAATTAATCAAGCCCAAACTCAAGGTAGTTACTGTATACCGTTGAGGAGTTCCCTTAACAATTACACTTCTTCATCATCAGACCCTTAATGACAGCCCCACTCTATCTAGGTGTAAAGTCCTCATCAATACAAATTAATTAAGCCCAAACACAAGGTAGTTAATATAAACCACTGAGGAGTTCCCTCGACTGTCTGTCGGCTCCATCATCAGGTCGACTCCAGACCCTTATTAAATTGTAGTGTTTAAAATTCGTAATTGAAAAACATAATAGACGCACTACTCGCCCATAGAATTTTCGAAAGTTCCCCTCGGTTTCCCTAGGATCCCATCATCAGATCCTGACTTCATGGAAATGGGACCATTTCGAGAGTATACCCTTTCAAACGAAACAAAAATTTTTGAAATCGGTCCACAAACGGCGGACTACTGCGCGAACAAACAAAAAAAAAAAAAAAAACAATCAGCCGAACATAGTACCTCCTCCTTTTTTTGAAGTCGGTAAAAAGTAACGAAACCGGTTACCGGATAGACAATTTTTATAAACTACGCCGATAAGCGATCAGACGGTCACCTGATGGTAAGTAGTGGGCGCCGCCCATGGACACCTGAAACACCGGAGATGTTACAAGTACGTTACCGGCCTTTTGGGTTAGGTATTGCTGTTTTTTTTGTTTTCTTAAAAAAACACATATGCCAAGAATTCTAAAGCCTTTCTTTTAATAAATCCTCAGTTGTGAATAAAAATATTGAAGGAGCGAAATGATATTGTTCCTTCCACCTAGGATTCCTTTCGTATTATAAAACCCTTTTACGAATTAAAGATGTGCTAATACGACGACATGACTATAATAGGCACCTACATCTAACTTTTCTACCTAAATAGCTAAAGGCTGCCATTGCATCTAATTTGTCTGCTCTCAGCATAATGTTCTGAGCGCTCTCTCGTCGCCTATTGCGAGCTCCTAGCAATTTCTACACACAGCCAATTTCATCATCATAGTCCTTAGTTTTGAATTTAAATTAGAACTTTAAGAGGTAATAATTTCTTTGCGGATTTGTTATTAATGCGCATTAACACCTAAGATAGATTGCCGAAGGATGCTTTTAAAATACCATACCTTATTTATTTAAAAGACGGAAATCTTAGTGACTTTAAAGGCAAGATGTTTAGAGCATACTACTGTTTAAAATGCCGACTACGGGCTTGTTACTCCTCTGGAGTGAAACGGGTATCTAGAGGTATACGGTGATTGCTTACCATCATGTTGCATATGTCGACATTTTAATTTTTGTTTTGTTAATATCTTGACAATAGTCTATAACATTTTTTAAATAATCAAATGATTGTAACTTATAAATTTTTAGTATTGACAATACTTAGAAATAAATTAATGATTTTTGTTATTTTTTAAGCAGAGTAAGTACTTTTGCGGTTCCCAAAAGGGGCTATAGTTGGAACACATTTTGTCAAAAAATTGTAAACCATCCTATGTACTATAGATGCATTAAAGTAATTTGATTTGATTTGTCTGCTCGTTTTCCCCTTTATGCCATAAACAAGTTTATGGATACTGATTGATGAAGATTGTTCCTAATAAAATTTGCCTAAAAATTTGGTCTAGCTGTAAAATAGATCATCTTACCTTTAAATTAGTGAAGAAATGTTGCGTCCTATGTACAACTGAGAGAGGTGTATGGTGATGAGCGGAGCGGGCGCGGGGCGGAGAGGCGGTGGCGGCGGGCGCGCATGACAGCTCTGATGCGGACTTTGACAGCCGCCCGCTTAGTGCCTCTGAGCGTTCTGAAAAAGAAACTTAATGTTAGAGCTGATAAAGTTTGTATTTGCATTCTAGTAACTGAGAGTGTATATTTTATATGAATGCTGAATGGCTCAGAAGAAAGAATTGCCACCGTTGTGGTAACTTCACCACATTCTCAAAATATCTCGGATACTACAATCTTCCCCTAAGACCTGAAAATCCATGACTGCAATGTGTGAAATTCCACAAGCCATAGTCTATTAATTTAAGAGTAACCTCAAATATTCTAACGTTATTGTAATTCATTCATAAAATAAGATCACAAATCTATATTTAGCCACAACAACGGCTCTTTTAACAAAAATACATTTTCATTCTTCTCAGAAACAATTGTTCATTCACTCTTCAAGCTTCATAAATAATTTAACAGCGGCGAGTCAAGTCTGCGGTTTAAAATTATATTTCTCGTCAAAACGCTAACGATTATGCGGGAGGGACATTTTCCTCTTAACCGCACTCACTCCTATTTCGTCAGAGGAGATTATCACACGACACGATGCGACGCTACATGACACGCATTTCATCAGAGAAGAATAACACACAAGACACGGCACGACGCGCATTACATCCAAGGAGATTGATACTCACGACACTGTACGATACGATACGACACGCCACATAAACTCGGTTGCAAACCCATTTGCATATAAACTGGTGTTAAACTGACTTATAGGTTTTTTTAAACGAAGGACATGTATGTGGTCGGATATGGTTGATGTCGGTTACGGCTAGATGTAAACGTAAAATTTTTTACCAAAAAATTCACAATGTGGCGTGTTCTTATCCCTAAAAGAATATACAGAAAAACATATACAAAAAAATAACATAAAAAGCATAACGCCACGCCTTTTTATCAGATTTAATGCCACTGCACTTAATGCCACTGTACAATTTAAGACCCACTTTTCACCTATTTATTTTATGAGTCCCATGTAATAGGGGCTGAGCCTGTTACCATATACTGAGCATAATTCCAGACTCCCTGCTACTACTGAGAATTTATTTAAAAATTCAGTAATTCTTTGCCCGTACCGGGAATGGAGCCCGAGAGACCTTGCCCGACAGTCGCCCTTGCGAACACACGGCCAACGAGGCAGTCAAAAATACAATATACCATCAGTATCAGTGAATAGAGGGTGTAACATTAAACAATGTACACTTCTACTGAAAATGTGTAGGCACACATTACACAATTAAATAAATCTTAATCCGACAAAGGTCAACGACGGTCATCCTAGCTAAAGCTTTAATCTCTAGTAAAAAAAAAAAAACAAAACTAAATCGAACATCCCAAAAGTAAATGTCAACCGAGAATTACTTACACAGAACAACTTTTTTCAGAGAAACCTTAAACAATATTTATTTTCGTAAATGTATTTACAGAACCTTTATATTTACTGTACGGATTCATTTTATCAAAATACGTTGGAAACCAGGGTAAACAGAATTTCGAACTTTGTTCACGACTCCACATCGAGTTATACATAACCAGTGTACCGTGGCCTCCATTTGTATGATCTTCCCTAACATTTGAAGGTCAGTTTATACTGGTAATGTATAACTTGATGTGTGTACATTACTCTATAGAATGGAAATGGGATCTCTTTGATAGCAAGGAGCGAGGTAAAACGGCTTAGACAATTTTAATAATTTTACTTTTGTGAGAATAATATGGAAAACCACGCTTAACATTTTCATAAAATTCGGTGAGATATAAATCATTGACGCTTTGGATAATGGCTTTGAGATTATTACGCATTATTGACTGCCTCTTAGGCCGAGTGGTCATAAGTGCGACTGCCGGGCAAGGGGTCTCGGGTTCGATTCCCGGGTCGGGCAAAGTATTACTGGGTTTTTAAATATTCTCAGTAGTAGCACGGAGTCTGGAATTGTGCCCGGTATATATGGCAATAAGCTCATCCCCTATTACACGGGACTCATAGCATACATAAATAGTGAAAAGTGGGTGTTACATTGTACAGTGGTATAATGTGCACCTTTGCCTACCCTTTCGGGGATTAAAGGTGTGATGTTATGTTATGTTAAGTGACTAGTGATGAATAAGCTCGATTAGGACATTGTCGATGACTTCTAGCGATATTGTCTCCTCCCTAGTTCACATTACATAAAAATGTTCTATTAAGTAACTAATTAAGTTCTAGAATTTTAATGAAAAACCTAGAATTAACTTGAGTACTTATAAAGGTCTTGTTCTAAAAAATAATTAAGGTTAGTTTTTTCAACTTTTACAATTTATAAAACTAAACGGCGCATCCAATAACATAATTTTCTCTAAGCACTTACCTAGAATTACCTCACTTTACCTTACGTCAAACACAATATGAAACATCAAAGAAACATTACAACTCAATAAACATAATTACAAACGAATAATTCGAGTGAGGCATTTGATTGATGACACGGTAATTCGTGTAAATGTTTCTATCAAATTTTTTGATGTGCCGGTTAGCTTTACTACTCTAGTTGTAATTCGATTTTCAAAATTAAAGCTGGTCTGGCCAGTCACATCAGGGCATACGACAGGAGATAGCTATTAAGGGTCGCCGTTACCAAAATCGGTAAGGAGGAATATAGAGTCCTCACATATAGCTGTTGGTATATATATATGCTCGTACTTATTGACTAGGTTGGTAGGCTAGGTACTGACTTCTTTTATTAAACTTTAAGTGTGGGAGAGCCATGCTTCGGCACAAATGGGCCGGCTCGACCGGAGTGATACCACGGCCGAGCAGAAAACTGACGTGAAACAACACTTGCATTGTGTTTCGTCATGTGAGTGACTTTTCAGTGACTTTTCCCGCCTTGGGTGAGGCGAGAGGGAGTGTCAGACTCTTATTGACTAAAAACCACCCCGTTCCTGCTCTTGCTTCGAGCCGGAGACCTAGTAACCCATGTTGTCACACAGGCGGCTCTTAAAACACCTATGGCATTGCTGGTAACAAATCTATACTGCCGTCATTAAATGGCTGGTACTCACACAATATATTTTCAACCTTAACATAAATACTGTTAAGGTCTACAATATATCTCAACGTAACACGGAAACTACCAATTTTGTGTCTAAGATAGAATATATCGCTCTGCGGTGAATTGGAGAAAGCGTTTACGTAGCGCTTGCTACGAACTGCTACGCGATGCTACGGCGTAGGACTCAGCTTCATCAGCATGTAGTGCGTTTACCAATATTTGCATATTGCATTATTTCTGAATAATGTTAAGATTGACAATCTAATACAACAGTATATTAGAAGTTAGTCTAACTAGAAGTTTAGAAGTTAGACTTTATGTTATTATTTTAAGTTTGTAACTCCTTTAACAGCCTTTTTATTAATCTTTTCACTCGAGATCTTAAGTGGAAAAATCATCGAAGATAGTGCACGGTAGTTAATCTATTGCTTTCAATAAAGTCGTTGTGATAACTGGTGGGACGTGAATATTACATTCAATAAGCCCTACGCTTAGATATGAACGTGTTTAGAGGCTTACATACATAAGTTCATTTCAAGAGATCTCAAAATAATTTATAGCCACAGAATAAATTCACTTATTATGAAAGTATGAAAACATTGCCCTCATTTCAGTACAACCTTCATAAAGCCAGTACTGTACAAAAAGGAGCGCGGGAACCTTTTCACTGAAAACAAGTGGTTTTTCAGCCGTGGCCTCGGACAAAAACAAGCTGCACTGAGTGTCGGGGGCTGTGTCACAGTGTGGTTGTAAGTAGTAGGTCAAAGTCAGTGAGATGAACTTGGAAGAGAATTGTAGATGAATGCAACATAGTTCTTGTTCTGATCATTATCAGGTTTCCAGTGATACATAGCTTTAAACTGTCAAACACCGCGAGGACACCGGTGCCCGCAACCTATTGTTCTTTAATTATGTCTATAATGACAGTACTCAAAGGGTTAAGCGATTCTTAGGTGAATATTCGTCATAGCTTTCAAATTCTCAAATCAGACATAATATTTACTACATAAAACAAATGACGTATGAGCCGTCTCAATCGAACTGTATCACAGAAAACTAAAATAAGATAACAGTTCCATCGTATTTGGTCAAATGCAGTTCACCCACCAGAGCTCCACCACATACAACTCGTTTGGTGTTGCAAGTGACCATTAACAACACTGATTACTTGCCGTCAGGTGATTCGCTGTAGCCCATAAAAAATAATGCGATGAGACTTGCGTCGCCGTTAACAAAGTTACTATGACATTGTGTTAAACACCACACAAGGCAAGTCAGTTAATTGTCTGAAGTAAATACATACGCGTGACTTTTGACTCTCAACTTTACAAGTACACACATTTTTATGTATTTTTATTTTTATTTCTTACTTTATGTTTGGGTATTACAAACATTCGTGTTTACTTTTTCTACTTTCATGTGTTTATCAGTGTGGAAAGTTAAGTGCCTTTTTATATATGTATTTTTGCTTACATAATTATATTATTCAGTTTTGGACTTAGATGTAGCATGTAGCGTGGTTTGAATATAGTCGAGACACCGCGTCAAACAGTAAATTCTGTGTACTACTCGTACAAACAAACAATCGGTCCATTAATGATGGTTGTATGGATAACGCAGTGTTATCGGATATCACAGTAAATTAATAAGTTGTAGGATAGAATAAGACTGACGACAGAAAATAAATAAAACAAACATTCGATGATTTTCCACCCTTAAAAAAAAAATCAGTAAGTTAAAGGCAAGGACGTTAAAAAAAAGGTATCCATGTTACCAGAGAAGTAAATGACAGATGTTCTTCGTGTCAAAGTGTTTATGTTCTGCGTGTAACACTATAGCAGCCAGGTGCCACAGTCGTTCGCAGGAGACACTCCGGACGGTGACGATCTTCGGCCACTGTAAGTGCCGGTCTGCAGACAGCGAGCAATTGGGTAGCCGCCCGACCAGACCCGTGCATGTGTCTGCGTCGCAATCTGCGCATGCCATCAGACCATCACAGATAGGATCTAAATGTCCGATACGGAGCTGCGGAAGGCCTAACGGGTTGCCAGGAACGGGGTGGTTTTTAGTCAGTAAGAGTCTGACAGTCTGACACTCTCTCGCCTAACCTAAGGTGGAAGAAGTCAGTGAATGATTTTCTCCCTCAGAAAAAAGGCACAGTTGTTATTTCAAGAGACTCGGTCCGCTTTTCTTTTAACGTCTTTGGTTGAAGGTATAAATAGACATGCATACAATCTAACACCTACTTTTTACTAATTATATTATGAACCCCATATATAGAGTAAGCCTATTGCCATATATCGGGACAGAAACATACTGTGTTGTCACTGTAAACTAAGATCAAGATCCCTTTGGCTAAAGTAAATACAAATGACGTCACGCTTAAAATATACTGAACTTTAAATTCACTTTATATAGAGTGTTTCTGAAAATACGAATCGAACTGAACACAAGTATAGGAAAACTCATTTTCATTTGAAGAAGAATTACACTCATAGTACAGATATATTTAGAAAATTCTAAGACTTACAACATGAAAGACTCGACATCCTTTAAGCCTGTACATTGTAAAGAGAACACGTACTACATAAAGTAGACATTCCGTATCTTATCTTCGGCACGTTCAATGGGTCGGGGATAAGCAATATCGAA